GGGGGCGGGACTGGGGGGGGGGACAGAGGACCTCCCTTCTGATTGGGCCAGGCGTGCCTCCGCCGCGTCCTTCCGCCGCTGAATGGGTGGCTGCGCTGTCGCTCAGAGGGAGAGCCCGCCTCCTTCCGGCGCGGCTTTGTGACGCGGCGTCCCTTGGCATCGCCGTTACGGTGGCCGGGCTGGGCCCTCGGCACATGCGCCTTGTGGGCCGCTCTCCCCCCTGCTGCTGCCCCGCGTCCCCTCCGGTCTGACCATGGGCGGCAGGATCGAGTGCGTCTTCTTCAGCGAGTTCCACCCCACGCTGGGCCCCAAGATCACCTACCAGGTGGGGGTGGGGGGGAGCCTGGGCCTGAGCCCGGAGGGGAAGCGGGGCCTGAGAGCACCTACCGGGGGGCTGGTACCGGGGCAGGGCCCTGCTGAGGGCCCGGGAGCGCCTTCCCGCTGGGGAGACTGAGGCCCCGGAGCGTCCACAGGGGAGAATGGGGGGCTGGAGGCCGTGGGGTTTGGGGTGGCGGGGCTGGGCAGGCGGGTGAGTCTGGAACGGGGCCTTCTGTGCCGCTGCAGGTGCCCGAGGACTTCATCTCCCGGGAGCTCTTCGACACCATCCAGGTGTACGTCATCACCAAGCCCGAGCTGCAGAACAAGCTGATCACCGTGTGAGTGCTGGCAAGTGTTGGCCTTCCCCGTGGGATCCCCTGTCCTCACCCAACTGGCCAAGTCTTGGCTTTCAGGAGCTGAAGGCTGGGTGATGTGATGGTGCCAGCTCCGGGCCGCAGGGATTCCTGTCCCCGTAGTCAGCGGGTTCATGGCGATGCCCGCAGTTGCCCGTGCCAGGGGGGTTGGGTGTGGGATGGTGGGGGTGGCTGGTGCTGCAGGTGGTTCTCTGCCAGCCGCAGATCCATGAACTTCAAACAAGTCTTGAGAGCCATGCTGGTTTTGAAAGGAGACTCTTTTCTTCTCTGATGGCTCTTTTCCACCTTCGTCAGACCGTGTGTTTTGCACTCTGAGCATTTGGGGTTTAGGCGTCATTTTTCCTGCAGAGCAGAGAAGCCCCCCCCCTCCAGAGCCAACTGGGAACTAGCCTTGAGTGGGGCTCAGGCCTCCCTGAGGGCGTAGGTGCAGGTTATACTTGTCTTCCTGCAGAACAGCCATGGAGAAGAAGCTCATCGGCTGCCCTGTCTGCATCGAGCACAAGAAGTACAGCCGAAACGCTCTGCTCTTCAACCTGGGCTTCGTGTGTGATGCCAGAGCCAAGGCCTGTGCGCTGGAGCCCATAGTGAAGAAGCTGGCTGGCTACCTCACCACCCTCGAGGTGAGGCCCTCTGTGGTAGGGGCCAGGTTTACAGTGAGGAGGGGATTGTGGTGGTTTCACTGGAAGTTTGAGGGAAGATGGGAGCAGAAACTTGTGGTTCCTTTGGCCCGTAACCCTGTATGGGGGAGATGACTTGATTTCCTGCTCTCTTTAGCTGGAAAGTGGCTTCATCTCCAACGAGGAGAGTAAACAGAAGCTGGTTCCCATCATGACCATCCTGCTGGAGGATCTGAACGCCAAAGGGAAGTGCACCCTGCCCATAGGTAGGCAGCCATGCTGTCCCTGGCCTGGAAGCAAGGACAGGACAGGGCTGGGTGGCAGCTGGACCATCCCCTGCCCGGGTTGGCTCTGCCTACACTGCTCCTCTCTGCTCTTAGAGCTGTAGGGCAGCTGAGCCAGCCTTGCCTTGGATGACGGGAAGGGCCGGGAGGGATGGGGTTATGGGCTGCAAACACCTTCTTCCACATGGCATGCTGGTGTCCTGGGGCTGGTGGTCATGAGCAGAGGTTTCTGTGGGACCTGAGCACTCCCCCTTCCCTGGCCAGATGAGTCGAACACCATCCACCTGAAGGTGATCGAGCAGCGCCCGGACCCCCCCATCGTGCAGGAGTACGATGTCCCTGTCTTCACCCAAGACAAGGATGACTTCAACTCCCAGTGGGATCTCACCACGCAGCAGGTCTGTGTGCTTGATGGGGGTCACCACACTTTGAACAGGATCTGTTTCCATCAAGGGATTCGGGCTGTCCCAGAGATCATCACGTTAATTAATGAGCACAGTTTGGTGCTCCTCTTGTCTTTGCGCTCTGATCTGTGAGCACCCAGCACGAGGATAAAATGCTGCTGGGGATGGAGCCTGCCCACCCCAATGTGCTCCCAGATGCAGGGGAGTTTCTTGGGCTTCAGGGTGATGCCTTGGGCTTCTCTGCCTCTCTCCCCTCTTAGCCCTTGCCTCCTCCCCTCCTAGATCCTGCCCTACATCGACGGCTTTCGGCACGTCCAGAAGATTTCCGCAGAAGCCGACGTGGAGCTGAACTTGGTGCGCATTGCCGTGCAGAACCTGCTGTGAGTGCGTGGGAGGGGGCCTGGCCAGCCCACAGGAGGGGTGGTGGGCACTGGCAGAGAGGGTCTCTCACCTTTCCCTCTCCATCTGCAGGTACTACGGGGTCGTCACGCTCGTCTCCATACTCCAGGTGGGTCAGGCCACAGAGCGTAGGACCACGAGTGGGATTCTGTTGGCTGTGCCGTTGGGGTGGCCATGTAGTGAGGACAACAAGGTTTGGGACAGGGCGGGTCTGTCTCGGAGCCATGGCTTAGAGCTGGTTTTCCCTTCCCCTCCAGTACTCCAACGTCTACTGCACCACACCAAAGGTCCAGGACTTGGTGGATGACAAGTGTCTCCAGGAAGAGTGTCTCTCCTACGTCACCAAACAAGGTAAGGTGACCCGGCGCTGGGCTGCTGGCAGAGGGAGAGGATGTCCGGGTGACTTGTCCCCACCAGGTGACAGGTGACTTGTCCTCACAGGGCACAAGCGAGCCAGCCTCAGGGATGTCTTCCAGCTCTACTGCGGGCTGAGCCCTGGCACCACGGTGCGAGACCTCATCTCCCGCTACACCCTGCAGCTCCAGAGAGTGGACGAGAGGTCGGAGCCAACACCCCCCTGCTCGGTCCCCAAGGGCAGCGGTGACACTGGGGTTGGCAGGGGGAGCATGGGGGAGTGAGGAGGGAATGCCCAACCTGTGCTTCTGTGGTTGGGGAAGCTGAGGCAGTGGTGTGGTGTGGTGGAACCAGAAGGGAACGGCGGGGAGCTGGGGTGTTTGAGGCCTTGGCGTCGTGGTCTCAATCTCTTCCCTCCGTGTCCCCCAAGGAGGCTCATCCAGTTTGGCTTGATGAAGGGCCTTATCCGACGGCTCCAGAAATACCCTGTCAAGGTTGCCCGGGACGAGCGGAGCCACCCAGCCCGGCTGTACACGGGCTGCCACAGCTACGATGAGATCTGCTGCAAGACCGGTGAGGATTTGGGTTCCTCCATTCAGCTCCCGGGGCTGGCGGGAGGCAGGGGGCTGGTTTTGGGGTCTCCCTTCCCCCTTTGGGAGCCTTCACACCGCAGGGAGACAGCGCCCTGTGCTGAACTGGGCTGCCAAGCCCACGCTGCCAGGGGGGGAGGGATTGGGGGACCCAACCAGCCCCCCAACACCAGCTGCTGGGCACCCCACTGACACCCCCCTGCCACCCCCTCAGGCATGAGTTACAAGGAGCTGGATGAGCGCCTGGAGAACGACCCCAACATCATCGTGTGCTGGAAGTGACGGCGGAGATGGCAGCCGGGGTCCGCACCTGTGTCCCCCCTCCTTGTCCCCCCACGTCCCACCGTGTGTCGCGGAGAGCCCCGCCAGTCGCCGTCGCTCCTCCACGCCGCCAGGGGGCGCTAGAGGACACCCCCACCCGCCCCGCGCCGCCAGGGGGCGGCAGAGTCTCCGCCAGCGCTCCCCGTTGCTATAGCGACAACGCCAACGCCGCCGCCATGGCCGGGCCGGCCCCGCTGCTGCCCGCCGAGGCCGAGGCGCTGGTGCGGGCGTTGCAGGGCACCGAGCTGCGGGACACCGGCGGGCAGGGGTGCGGGATGGGGAGGGGGGGGGACACGACTTTGTTGGGGACGGGGCCTAAAGGGGTAGGGCCGCGCTTCTGGGGTGTCCCCGGAGGGTCTGAGTGGGGAAAGCGCGAAAAAGGGGCTCTGGATTTGAGTTGTCCCCGTTGGGGCTACGTGAGGGGGGGGACAGGAGGGAACCCGGTTTTGGGGCCTCTCCAAAGGCTCTGGGTGAAGGTAAGGAGGGGTCCCGCGTCTGAGGGAGGCACAGCCACAGAAGGTCTGGGGGAGAGAGGAGGGATTCTGTTTTTTGGGGTGTCTCCAGAGGGTCTGGGTGGGGATAAGGAGGCGGTCCTGAGAAGATGTAGGGTAGAGAGGAGGGGACCCATTTTGAGGTGACCCCCAAAGGTCTAGGTGGGGCAGGGGAGAGGAGGGTCCCCAATTCAGGAAGGGGTAGGGGAGAGAGGAGGGTCCATGTGGGTTGGGGAGGCCAGAAAGGGTCCAGACCTGGGATGTCCCCAGAGGGTCTGTGGGTAGGGGCGATGGAGAAGAGGACCCCCAGTTTTGGGGTGTCCCCACTGGGATGTCTGGCTGTGGATGTTGCTGAGGGCAGTGGGGCTGCCACAGCTGGAGCTGCTGCCCCAGGGATTGCAGGCTCAGGGGACAGTGTGGGGTTTGGGGGTGCCTGACAGGGTTGGGACATTTCCTGGGGATGGGGGTGCTGGGAGCAGGTTTCCCTGAATGAGGGACCCTCTCCAGGAGTGTGGGGGAGCCCCAAAGCCAGTGGCCAGAGGTCTCTGGCACTGATGTCCTTGCTGGGTGTCCTGCAGATGGCTTCGGCAGCACGAGTACGTGGAGAAGCTCAATATGCATGCCATCCTGAGCGCTTCTGCAGGCCAGGAGCAGCTCCTCACTGAGCTGCTGGTCACCTACGCCAAGGTGAGCCTCCTTGGGTGTGGGGGTGATCCCCGGTGCCAGGCCTTTAGCTTCGAGCCAGGGTTGTCTTGTGGACAATGTGCAATTTTGGAATAAAATGGTGAAGGATCTACTGTAACTGACTGGTGGTTTGCCAGTGTTTTGTTTTTTTAAATTAAAGGTCTAACTGGTATTTCTGCTTGCTGGTCTCTGGTTCCTCTCTGGAGGGTGTTTTGATCTCTTCCATGCACCAGCCCCTCTGGTTGCGAATCTCTGCCCTGTACCCAAGGTATCCCAGACTCAGAATGTGCCGCGCTGCACCAGGATGTGTGGTGCCCTGCACCTGCCCAGCTCCTCCAGGTCACCTTCTCACTTTACAACCCCAGGAGCTCTCTCTGCCCTCTGAAGCTGTTGATTTCTAGGCTGGGTGCATACAGATTGTGCCCCAAGGCCACTCTCCTCTGTGGGATGACTCCCAAGTCTATGCAGCCGAGCATTAGCACAGATCTGAACTGTTTTACTCCCCTGTCCCCGCTCTAGATTCCTGTTCTCATTGGGGAGCTGATCTCTGTGGAGATCTGGAAACACAAGATCTTTCCTGTGCTGTGCCGGCTGGAGGACTTCAAGCCAAGAAGCACCTTCCCCATCTATGTGGTGGTGAGTAGAGGGAGCAGTGGGAACGAGCCTAGAAATTGGGTGGGCACCACTATGCTTAAAAATAAATCTCACCCTGAAGATCTCAGAGCTGGGGTGGTACATCTCACCAAGCTGAGGAACCGTGCTGGACAGTGTGACGCAGTGGGAAGCACCTGGTTTCCCAAAGCTGCGAGTGATGAGCCCATGTCCTTGCCCCAAGGAGGGATGAGGACCTCCTCCCAGGGGAGCTCAGCTCTGTGTCCGTGCCTAATCCCACACAGGGGCTTGCTGGAGCTGCTGGGATGGAGCAGAAGACGCTCTTGGTGGCAGCTGTGCTCCTGGCTTCCAGCTCAGTGCTACCCTCGCTCCCAGGCAGCATCACCCTGTGGGTATGGGCCCCCTCTGAGCACTGTTTTTCTCTGGCACCTCTAACCAGAGGGCTTTCAGAGGTTATGTGCCTCTGGGTTTAGAAAAATGTAGCTTTTTCGTACTGAGCTTTTGGGAGCAGCGGTCCCTTGGGCCGTTCTTGGCAAGGGAATGATCTCAGAAATCTGGCTTCCCTGCAGAGGGACACAGCCCTTGTCCCAAGTGAAAGCTGCCTGAGACCTGGAAGTTTTAGCCCATTTTCAGGCAAAGGCAATACCTTGCTGAGGGAAGTGGTGTCCTCCCTGGGCAGCTGTTTGTCACAGTGTTGCCTCGAGGCAGCTTGTCTCACGGTTCTCAGTCTCGGGATAAGGCTGTCTGCCCTGGTCCCAGGGGGCTGAGAGCAGCACAGCCGTGCAGAGCACTGTCCCATTTCAGGCAGTGGCTCCCTGCCAGCTCCAGGGGCTGCAGCTTGCCCGAGGGCTATGGTTGTACTGTCACTGAAACATCAGGGATGTAGCCCTGAAGAGCCCTGCCTGCTGGGAAACGTGGTTCTCTGTCAGCGTGTTCTAGTGTCATAGGCATGTTAATGTAAATATTAATATGAACTGTATGAACTGGAGCTGTGGTGGAGATTGCATCTCTTGTATTTGGCTCTTGGACTTGGGTTTAGCCACAACTACACACGCAGCTTCTTAGAAGAGCCCTTTTCCTGGTCCCGTTGCCTGTGCCCTCAGTGCTGGTGACCGCTCTGCTCTTACCTCACTCCTGCCGTTTTCCTCCCTCAGCTGCATCATGAAGCCTCCATCATTAACCTCTTGGAGACCGTGTTTTTTTACAAGGTAAGAAGCAGGTTCAACTTTTTTTCAGTGTAAAGCCCCTGGGGGTGGAAAGCCACAGCTTGGTGGGGGGCTAACCCTCTGTGAAACTTGTCATTGTAAAGGAGATCTGCGAGTCAGCAGAGGACAGCATTCTGGATTTAATTGATTATTGCCACCGCAAACTGACCCTGCTCGCAGCTCGGAGCACCAATGGACAGACAGTGACCCCGACAGAGCTTCGTCCTGAGGATCTGGCCAGCCCCTCGTCCATGCAGGTGAGGAGAAAGTCCTGTAGCTCACTGGGGCCACATGTGATGGAAGGTGTGGGCAGCCTGAAGAGGGACTGGGGGGAGCCTTCTTCTGGAGAACACCTTGGCTGCAACCCCGGCACCTCCCACCCATCTCGGAGGGTGTCTGGTGCTGGTGCTCATCTGTGACAGCAGCTTGGCTGGGCTGGCAACTGCACCCACTTCCCTCCACCCTGCAGCCACGCTTCCACCCTCTCTCGTGACAGCTTGAGGCTTCCTGCAGGACACAGTCTGAGCTGGCACTGTGAGTGCAGTGACACTGGAGAGCTGACACGCAAAATATTCCATACAGGGGGGTTGGCCATTTTCTCTTAAAAGCTGTTGTGGATTTGTCTCCCTGGAGCTTGTGAGACCAACTTAGCTCAGGCTGCTGCTGCAGCCAGCCACGGTTAACCATGAGAGGGATCCCTCCCTAATCCTAATCCTGAATGCATGATATGACTGGGAATTGTCCCAGTGTGTTTTCCCCCCAATTTCCTCATCTCTCTGAGAACTACCTCCCCTCTGTGCTGACCTGAGCCTGAAGCTGTTCCCAGCCACAGGTACCATCCTGGTGCAGGACCTCTCTTTGCTTCTGGGACTTTGCTTCTCGTGTTTCCTCCTTAAACTGTGCACATCTCAAGGAGTGTCTGGAGAAGCAGGGTTAAGTGATAGCCTGCAAGCTTGGCCGTACCTCCCTGCATCGCCTCCATCCTTTGGCTCGTTGCCCGAGCACGTGCTCCTCTTCCAGAAAAGGGAAGGAAGTGGAGGGCTCCGGAGCACAATAGGGATGTTTTCCAGGAAATGTTTTCCCAGCTGGGGAGGGGAAAGGGGTGTCTCTGTTAGAGCTTTGACATGGTTCAAGGGGAAAAAAAAATAGACCTTTTCTAGCCAACAGGGTTCAAAAAAGCGCTCGTCTCCCAAGGAGCCTGGTTTCCTCTGATTCATTCCAGTCCCTCCTGACACTACATACAATAACCCCCTGCTAAAAAACTGTTCCTGCCCTCTCCTGTGTTGTGGAGCCTGCTGTCCTTTGTGACTGTGTACGGTGGTAACCCCTGGAGCAAGACCTGATCTGCTGTCCTTCAGAAGCACAGGCAAAAGTCCCTGCCTGAAGGTAGCAGATTTGAGGTCTGGATACCAGGAGGAGCTGTAGGAAACAGCCTCACTGGGGAAGTTTGGAGAGGGAGATGAGGGGAAAGAGCCCAAAATGCTTTCTCAGTAGTGCGTGAGGCACCAGCATGGGGAGCGCAGGGCTCCTCACCGCAGGAATTTGGAAGGGAACAGTTGCAGCGGCGCTTTAGCGGAATAGGAGTTGCTGAGGTCAGTGCTCTGCACACAAAGATCTGAGCTGCTGAGCCTCTGGGGCTGGAGAGGAGAAGCCCTGCCTGGACCAGGGAGAGAGAAGGACTTGGCACCTCTCAACCTAGCCATGCCCATGGTCTCAAAAGAGGCTGAGTCAGGGGGGATGAATGGGGTCCCCACACTGGGAAGGGAAGGAGGCTGGGTGGCTGGAGAGCGTGGTGTAGCTGTGGGCTGGGATAACCACAGGCAGATATTCTAGCTGGAGGGGAGAGGCAGATCCACGTGGGGTGATGTAGGATTGCAGCTGCGCCAGGGCCAAGTTTCTCCCTCCTCCTCCAGTTCCTCTGCTGATCATGCAGCTTCCCCTCCTTCAGCCTCACATGTCTTGTGGGCCACAAAAAGATACCAGAAGAGGAGAGAGGAGCAATCTGGGACTGGCTTCTTTCAGGGGGTGTGCAGGTCCACTGGTGCTGGTAGCCACCCATGATGTGTTAGGGATAGGGAGATGAGGGACAAGCAACAGTGGGCTGCAAACACTTTGTGGCTGCCCTGGCAAACAGGCAGCACTGGCACAGTCAAGATGAGAAACAGTTTGTTTTGCAGGGCTCTAGTTTCCTCCCCAGCCTGTGGTTATCAATGTGGAGCCAAGAGGCTGCCTCCCTGCAGCTCCTGGGAAATGGGGCCTGAGCCGCCCCCGCTGCTGCCCGCCGAGGCCGAGGCGCTGGTGCGGGCGTTGCAGGGCACCGAGCTGCGGGACACCGGCGGGCAGGGGTGCGGGATGGGGAGGGGGGGGGACACGACTTTGTTGGGGACGGGGCCTAAAGGGGTAGGGCCGCGCTTCTGGGGTGTCCCCGGAGGGTCTGAGTGGGGAAAGCGCGAAAAAGGGGCTCTGGATTTGAGTTGTCCCCGTTGGGGCTACGTGAGGGGGGGGACAGGAGGGAACCCGGTTTTGGGGCCTCTCCAAAGGCTCTGGGTGAAGGTAAGGAGGGGTCCCGCGTCTGAGGGAGGCACAGCCACAGAAGGTCTGGGGGAGAGAGGAGGGATTCTGTTTTTTGGGGTGTCTCCAGAGGGTCTGGGTGGGGATAAGGAGGCGGTCCTGAGAAGATGTAGGGTAGAGAGGAGGGGACCCATTTTGAGGTGACCCCCAAAGGTCTAGGTGGGGCAGGGGAGAGGAGGGTCCCCAATTCAGGAAGGGGTAGGGGAGAGAGGAGGGTCCATGTGGGTTGGGGAGGCCAGAAAGGGTCCAGACCTGGGATGTCCCCAGAGGGTCTGTGGGTAGGGGCGATGGAGAAGAGGACCCCCAGTTTTGGGGTGTCCCCACTGGGATGTCTGGCTGTGGATGTTGCTGAGGGCAGTGGGGCTGCCACAGCTGGAGCTGCTGCCCCAGGGATTGCAGGCTCAGGGGACAGTGTGGGGTTTGGGGGTGCCTGACAGGGTTGGGACATTTCCTGGGGATGGGGGTGCTGGGAGCAGGTTTCCCTGAATGAGGGACCCTCTCCAGGAGTGTGGGGGAGCCCCAAAGCCAGTGGCCAGAGGTCTCTGGCACTGATGTCCTTGCTGGGTGTCCTGCAGATGGCTTCGGCAGCACGAGTACGTGGAGAAGCTCAATATGCATGCCATCCTGAGCGCTTCTGCAGGCCAGGAGCAGCTCCTCACTGAGCTGCTGGTCACCTACGCCAAGGTGAGCCTCCTTGGGTGTGGGGGTGATCCCCGGTGCCAGGCCTTTAGCTTCGAGCCAGGGTTGTCTTGTGGACAATGTGCAATTTTGGAATAAAATGGTGAAGGATCTACTGTAACTGACTGGTGGTTTGCCAGTGTTTTGTTTTTTTAAATTAAAGGTCTAACTGGTATTTCTGCTTGCTGGTCTCTGGTTCCTCTCTGGAGGGTGTTTTGATCTCTTCCATGCACCAGCCCCTCTGGTTGCGAATCTCTGCCCTGTACCCAAGGTATCCCAGACTCAGAATGTGCCGCGCTGCACCAGGATGTGTGGTGCCCTGCACCTGCCCAGCTCCTCCAGGTCACCTTCTCACTTTACAACCCCAGGAGCTCTCTCTGCCCTCTGAAGCTGTTGATTTCTAGGCTGGGTGCATACAGATTGTGCCCCAAGGCCACTCTCCTCTGTGGGATGACTCCCAAGTCTGTGCAGCTGAGCATTAGCACAGATCTGAACTGTTTTACTCCCCTGTCCCCGCTCTAGATTCCTGTTCTCATTGGGGAGCTGATCTCTGTGGAGATCTGGAAACACAAGATCTTTCCTGTGCTGTGCCGGCTGGAGGACTTCAAGCCAAGAAGCACCTTCCCCATCTATGTGGTGGTGAGTAGAGGGAGCAGTGGGAACGAGCCTAGAAATTGGGTGGCCACCACTATGCTTAAAAATAAATCTCGCCCTGAAGATCTCAGAGCTGGGGTTTTATGTCTCACCAAGCTGAGGAACCGTGCTGGACAGTGTGACGCAGTGGGAAGCACCTGGTTTCCCAAAGCTGCGAGTGATGAGCCCATGTCCTTGCCCCAAGGAGGGATGAGGACCTCCTCCCAGGGGAGCTCAGCTCCGTGTCTGTGCCTAATCCCACACAGGGGCTTGCTGGAGCTGCTGGGATGGAGCAGAAGACGCTCTTGGTGGCAGCTGTGCTCCTGGCTTGCAGCTCAGTGCTACCACGCTCTTGGTGGCAGCTGTGCTCCTGGCTTCCAGCTCAGTGCTACCCTCGCTCCCAGGCAGCATCACCCTGTGGGTATGGGCCCCCTCTGAGCACTGTTTTTCTCTGGCACCTCTAACCAGAGGGCTTTCAGAGGTTATGTGCCTCTGGGTTTAGAAAAATGTAGCTTTTTCGTACTGAGCTTTTGGGAGCAGCGGTCCCTTGGGCCGTTCTTGGCAAGGGAATGATCTCAGAAATCTGGCTTCCCTGCAGAGGGACACAGCCCTTGTCCCAAGTGAAAGCTGCCTGAGACCTGGAAGTTTTAGCCCATTTTCAGGCAAAGGCAATACCTTGCTGAGGGAAGTGGTGTCCTCCCTGGGCAGCTGTTTGTCACAGTGTTGCCTCGAGGCAGCTTGTCTCACGGTTCTCAGTCTCGGGATAAGGCTGTCTGCCCTGGTCCCAGGGGGCTGAGAGCAGCACAGCCGTGCAGAGCACTGTCCCATTTCAGGCAGTGGCTCCCTGCCAGCTCCAGGGGCTGCAGCTTGCCTGAGGGCTATGGTTGTACTGTCACTGAAACATCAGGGACGTAGCCCTGAAGAGCCCTACCTGCTGGGAAACGTGGTTCTCTGTCAGCGTGTTCTAGTGTCATAGGCATGTTAATGTAAATATTAATATGAACTGTATGAACTGGAGCTGTGGTGGAGATTGCATCTCTTGTATTTGGCTCTTGGACTTGGGTTTAGCCACAACTACACACGCAGCTTCTTAGAAGAGCCCTTTTCCTGGTCCCGTTGCCTGTGCCCTCAGTGCTGGTGACCGCTCTGCTCTTACCTCACTCCTGCCGTTTTCCTCCCTCAGCTGCATCATGAAGCCTCCATCATTAACCTCTTGGAGACCGTGTTTTTTTACAAGGTAAGAAGCAGGTTCAACTTTTTTTCAGTGTAAAGCCCCTGGGGGTGGAAAGCCACAGCTTGGTGGGGGGCTAACCCTCTGTGAAACTTGTCATTGTAAAGGAGATCTGCGAGTCAGCAGAGGACAGCATTCTGGATTTAATTGATTATTGCCACCGCAAACTGACCCTGCTCGCAGCTCGGAGCACCAATGGACAGACAGTGACCCCGACAGAGCTTCGTCCTGAGGATCTGGCCAGCCCCTCGTCCATGCAGGTGAGGAGAAAGTCCTGTAGCTCACTGGGGCCACATGTGATGGAAGGTGTGGGCAGCCTGAAGAGGGACTGGGGGGAGCCTTCTTCTGGAGAACACCTTGGCTGCAACCCCGGCACCTCC